CCCCAGATCTGCTTTATGAAAGTGATGCCTTCTTAAGACATTGATCACTGACTTTACAAATGGAACACACCAAAAAATAACAAATAAAAATAAAAAATAAACAAATGAAACAAACCAACAAAACACCCCAATTTTGATGAGAGAAGAGAGCTGTACTAATCCCAACTCTGCCTGATGAAAGTGTACGGTTCTGCTTTGGAGTTTGCCTTGCAAGCATAAGTGACAGCTTCTTTGCAGAGCAGTTGACATGGGGTAGGCTCCTGGACTGTGCAGGAGGCGTGCAACCTGGTCCAGTTTTTGCATTTTCCAGTCCTTCTCTGTGAATCTCTTTCACTGCTTCCTGAAACTCCTCATCTGTGGAACTCTGCTAACCATCAATTTAGGAACGTGTTAATACTGGATAACACCGATCTCCCTGGAAGAGTCTGTAAAATTAGGAATATTATTATGACAAATGTAATGACTTCATAGAGTTGCATATTCTGGGATTTATGTAAGGATGATCTTGATAACTTGATGACTACAGCACAGCATGGAAGCCAACTTTTAACTTCAAGTAATGACAGCAGTGATGAAATTAACAGAATAAATGACATTTATTGAATATTTATTCTGTGCCATATGCTGTACTAAGCATGTTTCATAATTAACCCCATTTTACAGGAAAGGAAACTATTTCTTGGACAGTTTCCATAGTTGGTTTAAGGTAAATAGCTTCCAATCATGGAGTCAGGATCTCACTCATGCATCCTGACTTCCATCTATGGCCCTAACCTCTAGAATTTTTTCTTCTGAATCTTAAAATTAATGTTTCTTCTCATGCAAATCATAGTTTCTGGAATTCCCACGTTCTAGAAGCAACACTTCTTATATTCGTTTGAGACACGGGGAGATTTTGTTTTCCCTCTGCATTAGGCTTTTCATTGAAACACAGATGAATTCTTTTTTTTTTCCCAGTTTTTTTTTTTGAACTTTTGAATTTTATTTATTTTTTATACAGCAGGTTCTTATTAGTTATCCATTTTATACATATTAGTGTATGTATGTCAGTCCCAATTCATCCCCCGCCCCCCCACTTTCCCCCCTTGGTGTCCATATGTTTGTTCTCTACAGACACACAGATCAGTTCTTCTCTGGCTATTCCACTGTTTCTATAATCAGAGTGTGTGACTGACAGGATGTGATTCAGTTGGAATACAAGGTATAATGCCATACTGATTATGGGGGGCATTCCACTTAAATGGCTAGTAATGTCTTTCCCTGAAATATTCAAGGAATGTTTTCCAGGAATCAAAGAGAGACAAGGCTGATAAATGATATGCTTTAATAAAAAATGATCTATTAGGAGAAATTGGGGCCATTAGGGGAGGGACCCATTTTGTGAGAGTAAAAATAGCTTGAACAATATCAGTGCATCTCCACGCCCACATTTTCCCCCTTTCTCCATGATTTAAACTGGAATGAAAGACATATCATGGGAATGGGAAATGATCCTTCTGATGTTCTTTCATGAATATGTTTGTATTACAATTGAAACTTTTACTATCTCTCCAGATACAGAAGCATAACTGTAGTCCTACTAACATATAGCCTATATACTAGTAGCAAAATGGCTAATTCACTAAAACCCCAGGATAATGCTGGCCAAAGTACACATTAAGTGGGAGACAGAAGGGTTGGCGGGGGTGGGCTGATGGGTGGGGAGGTGTTCGCCTAGCCTAATTTTTCTGAATCGGGCCATGTAATTGAGCCACTAACTGGGGAATCACTGTCCTGGAATCACTGTCATTGTTTTGGAAATTCCAGTTGCCATGGGACCTCAAGTGATATCCATCAACACACAAGCTGATGGGGGAAGAGTGGATGGGGGTATGGGATTAGCAGATGCAAACGATTACATATGGAATGCATAAACAACAAGGTCTTTATGTTTAGCACAGGAAACTATATTCAATATCCTGTAATAAACCATAATGGAAAAGAATATGAAACACACACACACACACACACACACACACACAAGCTAGAATGGACAACCACCATCAGGTAATGCCAAACCCCAGGTAGGACCAGGACAGATTTGGATTGTGTGGCCAGACCCCTGGAATTCCCTGCTGGCTGGCTGCACAGGCTGGCCTTAGTCATTTCATTAACCTTATGATAATGTGTTGTGATTTAAATGGTTAAATTCCATTCAATTTAATTTTTTTTGTTAATAGCTTTATTGAGATATAATTCACATACTATTCAGATCACCCTTTTAAAGGTACATATTCAAAGGTTTTTAGTGTATTACTAGAGTTACGCAACCATCATCACAATTTTAGAACATTTTCACCCAAAAGGAAACTCTGTAATCTTTAGCAGTCCCTGCCTTCGCCTGTTTTCCTCCACCCCCAGCCCTAAGCAACCACTAACCTACTTTCTTTCTCTGTTGATTTGCTATAATGTTTTCTCTGTAGATAAAGAATCTAGACAGTTTATATAAATGGGATCATATAACTTATGGTCTATTGTGACTGGTGTCTTTCACTTAGCATAGCGTTTTCAAGATTTAACTGTGTTGCAACATGTATCAGTACTTCATCCCTCATTATTACCAAGTAACATTCCCCTGTAGGAATATACCACATTTTATTTATTCATTCATCAGTTGATGGACATTTGGGTTGTTTTCACTTTTTTGGCTATTGTGAATAATGCTGCTGTGAGCATTTGTTCAAACAAGTTTTTGTGTGGATGTATCTTTCATTTCTTGTGGGTCTATACCGAGGGGTGGAATTGCTGGGTCATGTGATAACTGTGTTTACCCTTTTGAGAAAATGCCAGACTGTCTTCCAAAGTGGCTGCACCATTGTACATTTCCACCAGCAATGTATGAGGGTTCCAGTTTCTCCACTTAGTGTTGTTGTTGTTGTTGTTTTAATTAATTTATTTTTGGCTGTGTTGGGTCTTCGTTGCTGTGCGCAGGCTTTCTCTAGTTGCGGTGAGCAGGGGCTACTCATCATTGCAGTGTGCGGGCTTCTCATTGCGGTGGCTTCTCTTGTCGCGGAGCATGGGCTTTATGTACGCGGGCTTCAGTAGTTGCGGCATGTGGGCTTAGTAGCTGTGGCTCACAGGCTCTAGAGTGCTGGCTCAGTAGTTGTGGTGCATGGGCTTAGTTGCTCCGCGGCATGTGGGATCTTCCCGGACCAGTGTTTGAATCCGTGTCCCCTGCACTGGCAGGCGGATTCTTAACCATTGTGCCACCAGGGAAGTCCTTATTACCTTAATTTATGCTCTTATTATTATTTTTCTACTTCATTTAGGTTTTATCTCTTCTTTTCTCTTATAGTCTTTTCAGTTGAACACAATGATTTTTTTTTTAACCAGTTCAACTAGTTTTAAGTGTATAGCTCAGTGGTATTAAATACATTCACATTGTTGTGCATCCATTACCCCCATCCACCCCCAAAACTCTTTTCATCTTGAAATACTGCAAATCTATACCCATTAAACAAAAACTCCGCATTCTTCCCTCCCCTTAGCCCCCAGCAACCACCATTCTACTTTCTGCTCCTGTGATTTTCACTACTCTATGCACCTCACATAAGTGGAATTGTACAGTGTTTGTCTTTTTGTGACTGGTTTATTTCACTTAGCATTATGTCCTCAAGTTTCATCCATGTTGTAGCATATTGCAGAATCCCCTTCCTTTTTAAAGGCTGAATAGTATTCCACTGTATGGAAAGACCACATTTTGCTTACCTATTCATCCTAACCCATTTATTTTTAGACTTACATTTTTAAATGCATGCATTTAAGGCTATGCATTTACTTACATCAAAACTTACAAGTTTTGATATGTGATACTCTCATGACTATCCAGGTCTAAATATTTACAATTTTTCATTGTTATCTCCTTTTTCTCTCATGAGCTATTTAGAAGTACTTTACTGATCATAAATTTTTGAAGCCTCTTGCTGCTGGTGGATAAATCATTTTCTTAAAGCCTTTTCATACCTCCACAAGCTGTGTGGATACCAAAAGTTGCCCCAGATGATGTCTTAAGAATAACAACGGACAACAAATGAACAATACATGTCCTATAGAGCTTCTCCCCCAGCCCAGTACAAAACTACATACCTGTGCAGTCAAGAAGGTCAGTACAATAAAGAGGCTAAGTCTGGATTCAAGTGCTGACCACACCACGTGGTAAGTGTGGGAATTTGGGCAAATAACTTAATCTTGCTGCACCTCAGTTTCATCCTCTATAAAACAAAGCTAACAAAACTGTATCTGTTTCACAGAGTTATTGGGGAGTGTTTAGCACCTAGCCATCATTCAATAAATAGTACTATTTTAAAAATCAGTCTAGCTGCTGATTTTACCTTGTACTTTTAATGCTGCCGTGCTTTGTTGGTTAAGATAAACCTCTGGGTTTCTGAAAAGTAAAGACCCATGTTCCAAATAGCTTTGTTATACTTGTGTCCAAAATAGTTTCATGGCTCTCTGAAGTTCATGCAAACATATACAGAGTGGACACAGGCACCGGCAGACAAGATTGTGCCATTTTATATTCAAATTCAAATTCAAAATACACACAGATGCAAGCGACAGAGATTGTCACAAAAACGCACTCAGCCAAGCCCAGAACCCACAGATCCAGGTCCACACTCACGCTTCTGTAACACTCGCCACAAAGATGGATCCATTGCCCCCAGATAGAGATGCTCTCACCAATCCCAGTCAAAACCTAGCAGCACGCTGATGTCACAAGCCCCAGTATGGGCTGCTGCCTTGTTTTTACTTCCTTTGTGATGGTTCTATTTTAGTTGTTTTGTTGTTCTTCGTAGAGTTATCACCTACCCGCTTTTCTGTCTACCCAGCCCCCAAGCTCCCCTCCCCAAGCCTCCATTGCGCATGCGTCCTCATCCTTTTTTTTTCTCTGTCTCTCTGTCTCTCTGTCTCTCTGTCTC